GTGATAAATGGGGATTGTTGACATTTGGAAGGATAGAATGGAAACCATAATGGCAGAGACCTCCTTAGAAAACAGTAGCATGGAGAAAACCTCAGAAGTGCTCATGGGAAAAGAATGTGAAAGTGTATGAAATTAAACAATAAAGAATGAAAAGAAGGTGACTGAGAGCACCCAGACAGAGCACCTGAATGCCAAGCTATTTGCTCTGAATGTTTCCCTCAGCATCACAAGGATTAGGGAGCCAGGCTCTGTGCCTTACACTGCTGGCAATAAGTGGTAATGGGATTTCTACACAGCACTCCATCATCAGGTGTCTATTTTACTTCTTTTACTTCCATACAAATTCCTATCCTGCACAAACCAGGATTCTTCTGCTGGGGGAAGGGGATGTTTGCTGCCAGAGCAGTTTCATCCTCATCCATACATTCAAGTGTTTTATTAAAAAGACAGGCTCTGTAAAACTGTGGTTCTATTGTGTAGTTCCACAGATGCTTTCAATACTGGGCAGCAGTTCAAGAGCTGCTGCTTCCTTACTAAAGCTGAAATCAATCAAAATCTCTTAGTTAAGCCTTGGAGTCTGTTGTTTGGGCAGCAGATACTGAGAGGTGAATCAGTGCAGAAAGCTGAGGAGAGAGAGAAGGCACAAAATAAAGGAAGAAACCCTGAGCAATAGCTCAGTGCTTAAATCAGTTTTGAAAAAAAGATCATAAAACAAAGTGAGCCTGCTGTCCAATGGGCTCTACTAGATTTCAGTTCATTGGAGTGGATGGGCCCCCCTCATTGTCAAGCAAGGTCTCGTCAGTATTCTGCAATATTCAATATTTTTACCACTCATACAAAACTAGAAAACTATGGCCGGAAAATCATTTCATACGTTCCTTAGCTATATTATTATCACGTTAATACTAGAAAATTTTACTATAACGGCAGCCAAAGGTGTTTACAAGAAATGGGCAGCTAACCCCTGCCTTACATTTTGTAGTGCCATGACTTCTGCAGCTTGTAACTGTGCCTCTTGCCCTTCTGCTTGGCTGATCTGAGAAAAGTCTGCTTTATGTCTGCTCTGTAATTTACCTTCACGGTAGTTAGAACTAGTTAAAGACAGATATTAGGACTCTCCAACTTCATCTCTTCTTCAGGGTGAGCAAAGCCTGACCCCTCAGGAAATCATGGGCTTCAGTCCCAGGAACATCTCAGCAGTCCTCTGCTGTGCTCCCAGTTTGTCCATTTCTCTGCTGTGGTCTTGTGCTTTATGGTAGAATAAGTGAAAAAAGCATGTGGATCTAAGCCTCTTTAATTATGTTTTAGAATTATCAATCTTTCCTTCAAAATCACTCTTTCCTGTGAGAGATCTCCTCCTTAGCATTCACTTCTGCCAAGTTCTTAGACCAGGAAAACATCACAGGATTTCACATTCAGTGACAACAGTGAACAGTAAAAGGACTTGCTTCCACACAAAGCACAGCTGAGTTGCAGCAAGTTTCTCCCAGTGGCAGTTCTGTGTGGAAGATCTTTAAAGCTGTCTGCTTTTTCTTGCTGCGCTGGCAGCTGGGCCTATTTTTTCCTTTGCCTAGTATAAGGAGCAGAGAGAGAAGGGTTAAGAAATGTAATGCATCTCTTCTCGTTCCTAATGAGTCAAAATGGGTTCATTTCACACACTTGAGAGGCAGAATTGAGCAGGAGAATGTTAAACAATTTTCACAGAGTGCTCCTTAGATGAAGAAGTGCCTGTGACAGCGCACACCACAGAATGGCCCAGGTTGGAAGGGACCTCAAGGACCATGAATCTCCAACCCCCCCTTTAATACTAGACCAGGCTGCCCAGAGCCCCATCCGATCTGGTTTTGAACACCTCCAGGGACAGGGCATCCACAACCTCTCTGGGCAGCCTGTTCCAGCACCTCTCTTCTCTCATAGAGAAGACCTTTCCCCTGATATCCAACCTAAGTCTTCCCTCCCTCAGTTTAAAACCATTGCCCCTTGTCCTGCTGTTATCAACCCTTTCAAAGTTGACATTACTCCCAGCTTGCTGTCCCTAAAGCTGCATCCTTGGGGATCGTCACAGCCCCACATAATACCAGGTTTCGTGACCAGTCAGAACAGTGTGCTGTCCCTCTGGCATCATGTCTCTGATCTCTCAACTCACAATGCATAGGACACAAATGTTGTCCTAGTGAGTGGGGTTTCTCAGATGACAGTGAGCTTAGGTGCCAGCTGACGCCTGTCTCTACTTATTTTTCACAGCAGTTCACCAAAAAATAAACCCAAAAGAGATCTGGAGGAGTCCCTCTGCTCATCTCAACCTGTTCCAGTCTGGGATCTGCCAAGCACACAGTGAGAAGTCTCACTCCTACCCCTGGATCATCCAACACATATGCTGGCAGTCCTTCTACCGCTCCTGTGGCCTGCATGCCTTCTTTTACTTTGCTTTGAAAAGAGGGCCAGAGAAGGAAGGAGACGATGGTCATTTTGTTCTGAGATGAAGTTGGTGCACAGCAAGGGCTGCACCAGCCCTGGGAGCTAAGGATTCTGCAGCGCAGATTATTTCAGACACTACAACCAATTCCTCAGATCTTCCAGTAGCAGGTGGTGACACTTCCACAGGCAGTCTGTTCCTCTGCTTCACCTGCTGATCAGCAAAATGGATTTGCTTCCTTAAATCTTTGTCACTTAAATTTAAAATCATGACATCTTACTTCTCACCTGCAGCAAGTAAGAATTGTGAGCTACTTCACTTTTCACTTAAGTCTTCTCTCAGGGTTTTTTTTAGACTGATCAAATTTCCTCAAATCATCTTAACCCATGTTTGTGGCTGCTGATCACTCTCACAGCTCCTTACAGGTCTGCATGCATCCAAGCACTGTCTGATGGCTGCGTGCAGCTCTTCGGAAAGCAGCAGCTGCCTCATTACAGCTGCAGCCGAGGCCTTCCTTGCTTTCAGTTTACCTTGAAAACCAAGCAACCATGTAAATCCTCCCTGTTATCAGCTTCCTAAAGGGGATTAAACTGGCCCCTCTTGTTTGCAGAAAGATTTGAATCCCTTTTTTTCCTTAATGAAACTTGCTTTAAGATGAAACAGAAAATACTACAAATCCAGAGGTCTCATTCAAGAAACCCACTCACCAGCAAAAATCCTTACCATAAAACACAGTCAATGACCAAAACTGTAAGCTATAAAATCTTTTGATTTATTTTCAGTAAGGTAAAGTGTCCATGTGCCTCTGAATGTTTTAATGGAAATTTTTAACAATCCAGGTGATTCCTAGCACAGTTGGCTCTCAAATACATTTCAAATATTATTCTTTAGAACCTGAATACATACATTCCAGAATAATATATCATTTTAAAGATTTATCATACAAATTATGTAACTTTGCCAATGACTTGGAAATTAATTTTCTTCTTAGCATGCCACACTTACGAAAAAAATGTTCTGCATATAAATCTCTGGTTGCTTTACATTGAATCAGAATGTACATTTAGCAGCAGCATCTTCCCATTCTCCTGTGTTATTATGACTTAGCTGATCCCTCTGAACTGAGGACATCAGCTGGCACACATCAGCATTACTTTATGTCTGGGGTACTGCACATTCCTATTTTCCTCCAATTTTCACAAAAACTTTTGCTATTAGCATTTCTTCTATAGCTAACTGCTCTTTAAATGAATACTTTCACATTTGTGCACGTCCTGAATGCCTCTGGGTCTGCTCAGTTTAAACAAGGGTGGCTATTTTAAGCCTTTATATGGGATGTTTAATACAGGGAGTGATTCTCCCCCTCTCCCCAGGGCAGAGGGGTGCCTGCTGTAGGACTCACTGCCTCTTTGGGTCATGGCAGCCAGCATCCTGCTGGGGTTGGGCCAGCAGTCCTGGCTGACCAACTCCATCAGCACCTGCAGGAAGAAGCAGCTGACTGTGTGTCTGATAGGCTGCAGTTCCTGCTGCACTCCTGCTGGCATCTTGAATGCAACCGCTTTCCCCCTCTGAGTGGGAAAACAGGTCTAACTGCAAATAGATAGGAGGATAGCATGTCACCCTTTCCTGCTGCAGCCTGCCTGTGGATCCAGCTGACAAGGAAATACTGGGCCATGCTGAGTGGCTGTGATTTCTCACTGTACTGATGCAGATCAGACAAAACCCCTGTGAAGGTGCGATGCCTATATAACACAGTGATATGAAGCAGGCTGACAAATCCCAGTGGGAAAATCATCAATCCCACCTGCAATGGCTGGGATGGGCTGGCACCCACTGCACTGCAGGAGAAAGGAGCCTGGCAGAGATACCACAACGCTGTTATACAAATGTTTGCCAGAATTTTCTTTCTCTGCAGTCAAGAGACACAAATAAAAAATACAAATAAAAAAAAATAATTCAAGTTCATTCAGTTTCTTGGATGCATGCTTATAGAGCACATCAATTAAATGTTCATTGCCAACCAGCAGATTTACACATTATGACACAACCTGGCTGTACTGCCCCATGTTTCCTATAAGGTCAGTTGATGAGTTCTGATGTCAGATTGAGACAAGACAGAACTGTGCTTCTGAATTACAAAATACAAATGCTACAAGAGCTAATTCTGAAGGATTGGGTAATGGGCAGTCGAAGAAAGGCAAGAGACATTCTGAGAACAGAGGTACCTAGTGCTGCGTTTGGGTTTTCAGATGCACGAAGAGTTGGGAGACCTCTAGAGGCAAAGGCCTGCCTGGCGGATTGAAGCAGCCTGTAGGCTGTCCTCAGTTGATGCTCTTTGTGGTTTCCTCAGCGACTTTGCCATAGCAGGACACAGAGTGGCCGTGGGTCGGGAATCACGAGTGACTCTGAGATAGGAAAAGATCCGGGCTAGGAATGAACAAGCTTCCCTCTTAATTCCTAAGTGTTCTTAAGAGCTTCTCCTACACTTCTAACACAGGATGTCTTACTGGTCTTCAGTGTGAAGCAGCCTGTAACCAACTGGTAAGAAAGTACAGAAGACTGGAATGATTTCTAAGTGAATTCCTGACAGGCATCATTTTAACAGTCATAGGGAAATCCACCCAAGTACTCAGATCCCATAGTCCTGAAAAGAGTGGTGCTGCCTTTACTTCCAAGACCACAAAACATTTTGGAGGGAGGAGCTGCTTTGTCAGGTTTCTAGGTTAGTTTGTACACCTTCTGGACGTTAAAACCCGTATTCATTATCATTTCTATTCTCCAGTCAGAATTCATTAAATTGGGAAGCAACCCAATTTCTAGAACACAAGGCAGTGGATGAGAAAATATGCACTGCCATCAATGCTATATGGAATAAGTGGTATTTTTCAACATAGCAGCAATTTACCTAATTTCCAAGCAATAATGAATGCAGGAAGCAGAACCTAGAAAGAACCTAATTTTTCAAGTAATTTTTATGGGTATTTTAGAGCACTTGATGCATTCACCATCCAGCTACAGCCTGCTGCAATCAATGCTCAGTCTTTCTTCAGCTCAGATCCCAGATGTTTCATGAAAACATGAAACAGACAATTAGTGACCAACATATAGAATGTTGCCCAAGTGGGTTGCTGAGCATTATCTAGAAATTCCAAGAGCAGCAAAGAGAATAAGTTACTCTCCAGAGGTAGCAGAGGAATCTTTAACAGCACTTTAAGTGCTGCTCAAATTTGGTGTTACACAGTTGAAGAGACTGGTTTATAAGCAGAAAGTGCCTTCCAAGGCTGGCAATAAATGAGGTAAAAATTGTTTGAGGGAAAAAGGGGAAAAAAAGCTAAATCGTTGCAAGAAGTTAATTCAGCTATAAAAAGTACATCCACTAGTCTAAAATTCAAGCTGTGTGGTGAATTATATACACTTCTAAACTCTGAAATACATGAACATATGCAACATGTTATAATATTTGGCGCCATTTTGCCATACGGAGCTACATCTTACATCCTGCTAGAGCAACAGTAATGCTTCATGAGGAAGACTTGTAGTCTTAAGCCCAGCACAACTCCTGGACAGCAGAGAAGTCCCCAGATGTGACCACACAGGCTGAGCAGAGTGAGAAGGACTGTAGCAGAAGGTCTGAGGCAGATCTGCATGAAGATGCTACAGTGACAAAAAGGAAATTTCCTCTGGCTTCAGAAAGGATAGGATGCAGTTTGCTGAGCCTATGAACTGCAAAGAAGAAAAAACCTGCCTGTGCAGACACAAGAGTCAATGGGAAGAATTATTTTCAACCTTTCTTTTGTTTAATTTATCTCACCCAGCACATTGATTTTTACCTTACTTGACAAGGAAACTTTGCCTACTTATTCTGCTCATATCTTGTGATGTATAAAATAGAAATATAGGGACTGGAAGTCTGTTGGGTTCATTTGGGCATCTGTAACTCAAGACAGGGGACTGCTGTATCCCAAGGCGATGAGAGAGTTGTGTCCAGCCATTTTACGATACTTGTGAGTTGCAGGTGAAAGACATCTGCTGATGGGAAATCGAGAAAATGAGTCAGACACAACATTACCTGGAACTTTACAGAACTTCTGGGTAAGATAATAATGACAAGACATGGAAAGCTATCTTGCTGGTGTCAGTTTCAGCATCACTGTGCCCATGAGCAACAGAAGACAAATGGTGAAGGTATGGTACAAAAAAGAGATAAGAGAAAGCTTACATGTATGGCTGGTGCTGGTTTGGTTAGCACATAGACAGAGACAGAGTAGAACGCACTTGAATCAAAAGGTATATTTAATGAATTTGTTGATAACTTATCAGAATTCTCTCTGCAGCATGAGAGAAGGGAGATTCTTTCCCTTTGTCTGAGAAATAAACACTGAAGTTTATTCCAATTTGATTCTTTTTCAGAAGGATCCCTAGCAATTGTTCAGACTATACACTAACTTTCAATTCCTATTGCCAAATTTTAAAGACAGAAAACATTGAAACGCCATGGCAGCTGAACACTACCTAGTCAATATGCCCTTCCCAGTCACAAACTTTAAACTAAAAAACTCTTCCAGAACTCCCTACAAAGCTCAGCACAGGTGAAGAGGGTTTATCTATCAAGGAGAGCTTTAACACAAAAAAATAAAGGGATAGCAAAGGAGCTGGGATCTGAAAGCATGACCTGAATACAGAGTGAGCTGTTAGCTCTAAGTGCTTTTCAGTTGCCTAAACTAAAAGTTCATAAGCTGTTTTTAGAAGTAAAACTTCACTCTTCCTTTAAAAAAAAAAAATAAGAATCCATCAGTCACTTGCAGTAAGAACACACTAAAAGAATGCTAGGAGAGTTGTTCAGTATTTGACCCTGCTGCTCAGGAGGAAATTTGGAAGTATAGTATCTGCCATCAGAGCAGAGACAAGTAGGGGGAGAGACTGAGCAGAAGGAAGGAACACTATAAAAAGCAAAGAATAACAACATATGGCTAGAGAATCTCCTATCATAAGTATTAAAAAAATAAGTTGCACCAAGAAAAAGAAAAGAAAAAATACACTACCGAATTTTTCATATATTCTGAAACTGCTCTAATTTACACAGCTCTTACCCAGCTATAGTTGAGAGTTAATTTGCAGACAAACACTGAATAGAAATGATGTGCCCTGTCACTGAAGCAAACAGGACATCTCACAAAAAGGAACCTAAAGCAAAAATTTACCATGCAATCACAAGCGAGTATCTTAAAGACAGTTTTAGTGAGTGCAGAGAACGCCCTTATGCCAGATGACTTAAGGGGCCATGGAAAAGGAGAGAACAAGCTGACTTTTTACAGGATCTAAAAGAGTCCTGGAGGAAATCACTACATCTATGGAAGTGAACATTCAGCACAACAGCTTTCCTGCATGACAGGCCCAAACAGCAACAATATTGGCACTGCCACACATCATCATGTCTCTCAAATAATAATAAAAAAAAGTATTTTGATCTCATCCCAAAGTTATGAAATAACAAAGGTTTTTTTGGTGGATTGGTTTTCCTCCCTGTGAAATCAGCAAGAGACTGGGTATTATCTTCACTGGGATAAGGATATTAGAGTAGCTGAATGACACTGCTGTTAGATCTGGTAGGATGTTACGACAGAAATGAATCCCAGTCCTATTATTCCTACTATTTGAAGATGAAAAGAATTAGTTTAATTCAATCACATGAATTTTTATTCTGCAGTAGCTCTCTACCTAGTTTCAAAATGCTCAATCATTTAGGAAAATACTCTTCTAAAGTAATATTGTCATGCAAATAATGCCATTGAAATGTTTGAATAATAGTGCTCAGGAACTGTGTTTTTTATTTTTATTTTTATTGTTCTTTTGCTTCCCCCACAGATAGCTATACCTGAAACATTTGGTATACACTAAAACCTCAGAAATGGTGCTCAAATACATTTCTAGGCAAATAAACAAAAGCATCCTGCTTTTCAGAAGATGGCTAGAACTGACCAATGAAGGTTTCACAACCATCTTCAACTAGGCATCCCAATTAGACTCCTTCAAGTTTGCTCCACTAGATTGATGGTTGTACCACACAGGGGCATTTGGCATTTGCAGAATACCCTTCCTTGGTTGGTGAATCAAAAGATAGTCTCCTGCCCTAAATGTAATGAAAAAAAAATCCTTTCTAACAGAAAATAGACATGGTCACAGTATACAAACCTACAGTATTTGCATGCCTGTTCATATAATCAACAAATATTATGATATAAACAAGAGAGACAGGCAAAGCAGATTACAATAACAAAAAGAGAACAGATAGAAAGCTCACCCATATCCTGGGCTCACTTACAAAACTCCAGCAGAGCAGATCTCCAGAAAAGGTCCTTCCCTACTGGCAGTCAGCTCTTAAACAGGTCTAGGAGAGGTGCAGCCAGGCTCCACCCCTTCCTGCAGCACAGGAGAATTGCCTTCACCTGTTCTCCCAGTGCTGGCTCAGTGCTTGTTTCAGGTGATCAATCAGAGGTTCAGGCTGTGACTCAGCAGTTCCCATACACTGTTTCATCCGAACTAAGCATATTCTGTAAGAAAATTCATCTTGACACAGTGGTATTCCTCTGGGCACAAAGATTTCTAGCGGCTTTGTAATAGCTACTAAAAACCAAAAGCTAAGTCAAACAAACTGTGTAGCCTCCTCTCCCATAGTCACTCCTCTTAACCATTTCCTTTTTCTAAATTTCACCCTCTGAGGAAATCAGAATCCAAAGCAACAGCAGTAAAAAGAGCAGAGTCCTTCACTTTATTCACCTTGGTGACCTTCAGCCTCCTTGGTGCTGTGAGCAGCTGAAAGCATATCTCAGGAATGACCTAGGGGTGATACTGGAAAGTTGAAAGAACTTAAAACAACAAGTAGAGCCACAGAAAGTCATGAACCAAAGTCATTACTAAATGATGTACAAGACACTGCTGACTTCTGACTAAAGCTATTTCATGAAGAGGACAATTATATTTGGTCTGACTTTCCCTGGAAGGAATTGGAAGCACTTCAGCATTCACATGCTAGACCTTAATTTAACAAGAACTGGGACCTCTGAAACATTTTTCATACCACACACCATCTGATACTCTTGTAGAATGCTGTAAATAACTGCACCGTTAGAAAGAATGAAGATCACAGATGCTTCAGTTTTCATTATAGTTTGATAAATATGGAAAGAATATTAATGTTAAACACAACTTCAGTATTAAAACTACTGTACATCAGCTTCCGACTCAGTTTCTAAAGAGCAGATCCTGTAGAGACACGCAGTTTGCCTATTTACATGGCTCACAAGATTCAAAATGATCACCCAGTGTTAAAATGTTGATGTGTAAATAACTAGGAAGAATAATCTTTGATCCTGCTGTGAAACACAAGAAAATTTGGTGATGTTGACCAGCAAAAAATGATCAGGATTTGCATCGGGTTGATACGCTTTTCAAAAAGACAAGTCTCATCCCAAATCCTGTCCTTGGAATTCACCCTTTTAATAAAGAGTTTATTAAAATCGTAACTACTGAATTAGTACTGTGTTTTCAAACTGGTACCAGAAACATTAAATACATCTCCCATGCTTTTCTCCTGTGATTTGCAGTCTGCTTGGAACACCCTGCCATCACTGATCACACATAGTGTGTGTTCACAGTTCAGTTGGTGTAAACAAGTAAACAGCAGAAAGATAATTATGGATCAATAATACCACTAGAACAGAGATGCAGTAGTGCACATATGTATGCCTGAGTGGTGCCAAGAGGTGAGAGCCCTCGGAATACTTGCTGCCTGAATCTGAATGATTTTCACACTCTTTTGTAAAACTGCAAGTCAAGTGATAGAAATCAAGCCTTGACAAATTTGAAAAGATGAACCTTGTTAAACCCTGATGAGGTGAAGCACAATTCAGAATGCAACAGTACTGAAAATGATGCCATATTTTCATTTTTAGTAAATGGCTGCAAAATGTAACAGTTTAAAACAGATTTCAGTTTTTAAAAGTGCATTAAAAACACATCCCACAGGAAGTTATGGTAGAAGATTTATTTTCCAATTGTGATTTACTGGCTGAGAGATCTGTTATATGTGTAAAAAAAAAATCAGTTTTTTCACTTACTATATCTGAAAAAAACTTGACTCATTTTGCAATTTCTTCTAGAGCCACAGTCCAGAACTATGACAGAAGAGATGTGAGCCAAGACTGAAATGCATTGGCAAAACTCTGAAAACTTCCAATATTCCTGTCTTCAGTGTATTTTAGTAGAAAAAATAACTCTTTTGCAACCTATATGTGTGAAAGCTCCTGCATCTTCTCTCTTTCTATTCCTTTTTTTTTTTCTTTTCCTTTCCTCTTTGGAATTACAGTGTGTTCAAAAACCTGAGATAGAGGATTAAAAGTGATGGCTTTATGATGATAAGAGGAAATAAGCAGAGGATCATGGCTTAAATCCACAGAATATTATGAGAATGGAGATAGAAATGGTGCTAGAGAAAATGAGGTTCCTCTGGAAAATGTTGCTGCATTTTAATGTGAGGACGCTCTGGAACCAGACACCTCTGTGTACTGCATCCCTCTGTCTTAACTGGCTGAAGAAGGCCCAACCTTACAGTGCTTTTTAAGAAATACAGGTCTCTGTGATATCACCTATGTATCCAGAGAAAAGGAGCTGCAACTAATGAAGACCTCAGAGTCAAAACTAGGACTGTCATACAAAATCAATCATTTGGTTAAGATGGAGGAATGCAGAAATTTTGTGCACAGACATATCCTCCAAGGCATGGGTTCTGTGATTTGCAGTTCACTCAGCATCTTACCCTCATTGATTGTACACAGTTCATGTTAACAGTTTGTCTGGTGAGATGTAAATGGGAAGTGGTTACTAGAAAACCAGTGTCAAAGATGGTGAATAATTTGGAACTAAAATATATTTAGTGCATGCAATCATGGATGAAGAGAAATGAGAGGAGAGTAACACTGAGGAAGAGAAGGTGAAAGCTTGAATTATGTGAATCGACATGGTGGGACACA